CAATTTCCAACCTATTAGACCAGTTAGCTAGTGAATTCATTATTCGACCGCAGGTATTTCATCGTCATCTACAAGGTTTGTACTTCTAACTTTATTAAAGTTTCGTACATACGTTCTATAGTGTTTTCGTTCAATAAAAATTCACGAACATCCGTACTTGATAATTTCATACGTCATGAACAATCTTTCGTTATGTATTTCCGTTGGTCGTTTTAAGTTACGAAAATTGATTTACACCCTATATTACATATATTAACATATAAATATGATGCTCATGCAATATTTTAATAAACGATTTACAGTGTTACAGATAATAATATTCTATACATCTTGGGTGTAGAATGTATGTATAGATTATTAAATGTTTTTATTAAGAGTGAAGGTAGTGTAGTTATTGGTGATGAAAAAAAGTTTTAGATCAACTCTAGAAGACAAGTTATCTGCAAACTCATAAAGTCAAAATAGTACTTCCCAACAAAACATAGTGTCAACAGTTGATAAGTACGGAGTAGACATATAAAATCCTAGAAGGGGTGCTTGTGAGAAAGTAATTTTTATATCCGTTATCTGATAATTTGTCATTGGTAAACAAAAATAGGAAATTTAGAGAGACTGAGACGGGAGTGAATAGAGACACTAACACATAGAAGGTAATTTTAGGTAATTTTTACGTACACAGTACACTTATAATTTATTATGGTAAAAACAGAAGGAGTGAATAGAGACAGCGACAGACATCAGGTATTTTTTATGTCTGTTATCAATTTATCATTGGTAAAAACAGGAGATAGACCGTGGAGTAGAAGGAACCCGATCTTACCCAAAAGAAGGAAAGCGAGTCAACCCAACCCACCACCACCCCCGAATCCCAAACGGAGGAGGGCACTGGGCGGGGCAGGTGGCGATTCGGCGATTCCCCTGTCACCGTCCGTCGTCCGTCGTCTCCATCCCCTTCCATTTCCGGCGAGGGTCAAAGCAGGCTTCTTGCTCTTGCTCTTGGGGGTGGTTTGAGAGAGGGAGAGGAGATGGCCGCCGCGGCGGTCTTGGCGCTGCTCACGGTGTCGGCGCTGGCGGGGGCAGCTGCCGGCGGTGATATCGTCCACCACGACGACGAGGCACCCAAGATCCCTGGATGCTCCAACGATTTCATCCTGGTAAGATGAGAAAGTCTTCGTCTTTCCCCAACCCCAACCCCAACCCCTAATTAAAGCAGCTGCACCCACCACTTCAGTTTAGTACTGAAATAGATTTTCGATTTCTTCCTGCTACTTGTCAAGGTAAAAGTGCAAAGCTGGGTCAATGGCAAAGAGGATGGCGAGTTTGTTGGTGTTGGTGCTCGCTTTGGTCCAAAAATCGTCTCCAAGGAGAAGCACGCAAACCGAACTAAACTCACGTTGGCAGACCCTATGGACTGCTGCTCTCCTCCAAAACACAAGGTGGTTTTTTTTTATCCAACCACAACTTCAAGTTATTGCAGCCTGTCTTCCAACTGCCCAATGATTCCGTCCACTAAATGCTCCATCCTCGTTCTAGGTTTCTGGAGATGTTCTTTTGGTTCAAAGGGGCAAGTGCAAATTCACAAAGAAAGCAAAGTTTGCTGAAGCTGCTGGTGCTTCTGCTATAGTAATCATAAACCATGTCCACGGTGCGTTCAGCGTTGTCTTGTTTCCCTATCTATGACTTGTGGCATTGCTTCTTGTAAAAAATGTTATGTATCATCCTAGCCATGTTCCTTCAACATCACCTTGCATTACGTATTTAGGATATTAAAAACATCTTTGTATCAGTATTTGGTTTCACTAATTCTATCATGCATTTACTCTACAGAATTGTACAAGATGGTCTGTGAAAAGAATGAAACCGATCTTGACATAAATATACCTGCAGTTCTCCTGCCAAAAGATCCAGGTTCTGCTTTACATACACTTCTTACAGATGGTAACGCAGGTAAAATGTTAACTCACCATTGTCACCAGCATTTTAATTTCCATGTGGAACATAAGGGTGTTAACACTTAACTGCCCCTTCCTTCACCTTTATGTATTTTGGTTGTTTGTTCTATCTGAAATAGCTTACCATGTACTGACTTATCCTTGTCTCTTCCTTAGTTTCTGTGCAGCTGTACTCTCCAGATCGTCCTGTAGTCGACACTGCAGAGGTGTTTCTATGGCTTATGGCTGTTGGCACAGTGCTTGGTGCTTCCTACTGGTCAGCATGGAGTGCTAGAGAAGCAGTTATTGAACAAGAGAAGCTCCTCAAGGTTCTGATCTCTACGCTGTGACACTTGCTCCAATATAGCTTCAACTAAAAATGATGTATTGACAAATGCACTTATTGTTAAGGATGGCCATGAAAGCCTACTGAATGTTGAGGCCGGAGGTTCTAGTGGCATGGTAGATATCAACGTGGCATCAGCGATAATGTTTGTGGTGGTTGCGTCATGCTTCTTAATAATGCTTTACAAACTTATGTCTTACTGGTTTGTGGAGCTACTGGTGGTAATCTTCTGCATCGGAGGTGTAGAGGTGCATTTCTGACTATCAGTTTACTTACGGAAACATAATTTCGAAATACATGTTGTTATCAAATTAGTTGCTCTTACTCTCTATTTCATGGTACAAGTACCTTGAAGGAAACAGCCTAACAGGATGGTCTGCAGTTGGTTCACTGAACCAAAACTGCTTTGCTAGTTGATCGCTAAGCGAACTGTTGTTGGAGTTAATCCTTTACTACTTTTCCTTTCTTGAGGTAAAGCCTTTGTTTTTGTTTATGCAGGGTCTGCAAACATGCTTGGTGGCTCTGTTATCAAGGTACAGTGGATTGTCTTCGGGATTTGTTTCAGTCAACCATTCTGTTCAAGACCCTTGACAGCCAAGCTGAATTTTTCCACTAAACAAATACTAATGTTGACTAAATTGTGGAATCTTTCAGATGGTTTAAACCTGCTGCAGAATCTTTTGTGAAAGTACCATTCCTTGGAGCTGTTTCACATCTTACTCTGGCAGTTTGCCCATTTTGCGTTGCATTTGCTGTTCTGTGGGCTGTTTTTCGCCAGCTTCCCTTTGCTTGGATTGGGCAAGACATTCTGGTGAGTGTCACCATCTGTAGTATTCAATGCCTCCCATTTTAGTTGTGAGATCAACTGATTCCAGATTCCGCACTTTCAGGGTATTGCATTGATAGTTACAGTCATCCAAATTGTCAGAGTACCTAACCTCAAGGTACTCAAACCGCTCTTGATTTTTGTCTTTCTGCTTTCTCTTGCTACAGCCTTTCTTGATAATAGTTGAGGTACGAGTTTTGTTTACCTTGTTGCCATGATCAGGTGGGTTCAGTTCTTCTCAGCTGTGCCTTCCTGTATGACATCTTCTGGGTGTTTATCTCCAAGAGGTGGTTTCATGAAAGTGTGATGATTGTGGTAAGCATGTGAAAGGGGATTCTGATATTTGGTGGGCCGATGGTATCCTGAATTTGCTGATTATAACATTTTGGTTTCTTCTGATAGGTTGCACGTGGCGACAAGACTGACGAGGATGGTGTGCCCATGCTGCTAAAAATCCCGCGAATGTTTGATCCATGGGGTGGATACAGCATCATTGGCTTTGGTGATATCCTTCTTCCTGGTCTTTTAGTTGCTTTCGCGCTAAGGTAAATCTAGTCCGCAACCAGGCTTTTTCTTCATGTGAATTCGGGTGATAAGTTTCTGTTGAATTGTTTGCTATTCAGATACGATTTTGCTGCAAAGAAGGGCTTTCGGTCTGGTTACTTTTTATGGGCAATGGTGGCCTATGGCTCTGGTAGGTTTGAGTGGATGAGCGTTAGTCCGCGCAGCAGGCAGAAGATTGAACCATGTTTTCTTTTCCCTTGTGGACATTAACTGGCTATTTCTTCTGTGGCCACATAATCAGGACTTTTAATCACATATGTTGCGCTGAACCTGATGGATGGGCATGGCCAACCTGCCCTTCTGTACATCGTGCCCTTCACTCTTGGTAATGGACATGGCTAGCTTGAGACTCTATTGGATGCATATATATGTAGATTATGAACGTCCAAGCAGGCCATCGCGTTGGGCTGATGTGTATGCGTGGATGTGTTTTGTTGGTACAGGCACCTTGATCGCGCTTGGATGGAAGAGAGGGGAGCTGCCGAACCTGTGGGCAAGGGGAGAACCAGAGAGAGTGTGCACGCATATGCATGTACCGCTGCTGCCAACGACCCCAAACTAACCAGAGGCACTGCTGGGTCAGAATGCATGCTCCCTGACCCTGCGTCGACGGTCAGTAAAAACCAGCAAGGGTGCCACTGCCGTGACCTCAGTTCCTTCCGGCAAATATACTAGTAACTAGTGACTAAATGTGTTGCCTGCTGGCAATATATGGTCAGTAAGAAGTTGTATTTTGGTCGAGACATTTGACTGATTTGTGAATTACTAGTGATTATGTAAGCAAGTTGTATTTGATGGAGATAGTTTGTTAGCTTGGTTTATATATCATCAGTTTGGGTTATCATGCCTGTGTCTGATGTGTGTGTGATGTGTATATATATAATAACTAGTGTAGATGGCAACATGCCAATAATGTTGGTTGCCATCTGTACTGTAGCAAGCAGTAATAAGTGCATGTACAAGTAAGAAACAAAAGGATGGATAATATAATACACCCTTTGGTCCCAAAAAAAAAACTGGATGTTTTAGTTTTGTCCTATGTCAAGTTAAGTTTTACCAAATCTATAGAGAAATTTGCTAACATTTATGATACTAGATAGGTATACCTTAATATTTGGGTGTATAAATTTGATCAAACTTTAGATAGTTTGAATTAAGACAAAACTAACTAAAAACAAAGTATTTTTTTGGGACAGAGATAGTAATGTATAAATTCCAAAAATTAATATAATTACAGTAGTAAATTAGCTTGGCTCCCTCCCTCCCCATGTCGTCAACTGGAGTCAGCGTACGTCAGCAGCCATGGATATGATGGTTCGGTGAAGCTAGCTAGCTAGTGGCGAGACAAAGCATGCATCAACTGAACTGCTGGTTCATGGCATGGCGGCTTTGCCGGGGATGTCACCTCCTGCTCCGTCGACGGCGCTGGCAGCAGGTTGAGGTCCAGCTCCAGGTTGATGTTGCCCTCCTGCAGCAGCTTGCTACTGTCTTGGTCCCCCCTCCCCGTGGCGGTGATCACGCTCTCGGGCGTCGCTACGGCCGACGAGCTGGTGGTGAGCGGCCGGTGGCGCCTCATGTGCCCGCCGAGCGCCTGCCCGGACGCGAACACCGCGCCGCATGACGAGCACTCGTGCGCCGGCCTCGTCGCCGCTGCAGCTGCTGCGTCGGTCCCCGCTGCAGCTGTGCGCAGGCTAAGCGTGGTGGTGACAGCAGCAGCCGCCTCCTCCGGCCGTCGCGGCTGCTGCTGCTGCTGCTTCTTATCATTGTTGTGGCTGGTGCGGTGTCCGCCGAGGGCCTGGAAGGAGGGGAAGCACTTGTTGCACGTCTTGCACTCGTACGACACGCACACGCCACCTCCGGCCTCGGCGGCGGCGAAGAACCTGCGGCTCGTGCTCTTTGGCCTGCTGGCGGGTACCGGTGCCGGTGCCGGTGCCGGTGCCGGTGCCGGTGCCGGCATTACTCTTGCTGGCTCAACGGCGGCGGCGGGGCCCTGAGCGAGGAGGATGAGGCATTTGGCCATGTCCTCCTCCTCGTCTTCCTCCTCCTCTTTCTGTGTGGTGGTGCTGCTGCTGCTGTGTGAGGAGGAGGATGAAGCGGCAGGCGACGAGCAGTGGTGTCGACGTCGCTTGCTGTTGCGCTGCGGCTTCAGCTTGGTGACGGAGGCGCAGGAGACGATGGCGCCGCCGGTGGAGTAGTCCGGGACCGACATCGGCGTGGTCGTCATGATAGATCGGCGTGGCCTCTCTCTCCTCTCCTCCTCTTCCTCCTCCTCCTTGAGCATCTATTATATACCTATGTGCTTGCAAATTATAAAGGTAGGAGAGAGATGGATCGGAGATGCCGGCCGCTAGCTCCGATCCATCCACGACCAAAAATAACCCTGGTTTATAGGGATCAGGAACTGCATGCATGCATATATAGCAGTGTAATGAATAGGGTTCTGGACGGCTCCTCTTCTCTTTTTATAGCAACAACCAAGAATTAACCAGAGGGAGAGAGAGGCCCGATCGCGCGCGCCTTTCATTCCTACACAAATAGTGACTACCTTTCACATATCTTAAACTAGTTGGATATCCCGCACGTTGCTGCTGGAATCTCTTAGAAATAAAACTGTTGCATGTTTGAGTTGAATTATCTACACGTTCTTACATCTTTTTTTTTGAAATTGTTGTATTAAGAGGTCGGAAGTAGCGGGATGACATGGCTATTAGTGAGAGATGATGTGGATGGCTTACATATCGAGATAGAACTTGTAGTAGGGATTAGCTTTATAAGAGATAGATTGATGGAATCAAACATTTCGTTATTGACAGGCACGCGCCATATACCACTGAAAGAATAGAAGTTGTTCGTTATATGAAGACTTGAATTCGCATAGGCATATTCGAGTGCAAGGGATCTAACTAGTTAAAGCTAGAGTCGCTTCACGAATCCATTTCTACTTGATCACACAATTTAATACTTTCTCCGTTCCAAATTGTAAGATGTTTTGGCTTTTCTTGATATATTGATTTTGCTATGTATTTAGATGTACACACTATATCTAGATTAAAAAAGGCAAAACGTCTTAGTCCCTCCGTCTCAAGATATAAGGCACGATTTCACTTGGTGTGGTCTTCAAAGTCATACTTTAACCATTAATTTATACTATTATATGTAATTTATGGCAACAACAAAGTATCTATCGGTGTTTCGAATAAATACCGGCTAGTAAATTTATATTTATGCGCGTTAGGCCTGGATGGTGCGCTAAAGGACACAAGGTTTATACTGGTTCGGGCTGAATGGCCCTACGTCCAATCTGTTGCTGCTAGTGTTATTAGCACCGAAAATGATTCGTAGTAGGGAGTACAAATGGTCAAGAGAGGGACTGGTCCCAGGTCTCTGGTGGAGGGGTCGAAAGGATGCCAAGAGCTTGGTGGCGGCTTGGCTGTGTGTGATGTGTGTTGTTTTGTCCGTCAAAAGTCGGTCCCTCTAGTGGGGAGCCCTGCCCTCCCTTTTATAGACCAAGGGGGGAGCAGGGGTTACAGATGGGAGAAAGAGGAAAATACCAAGGGTATAGAAGGTCCTTCGAAGGATCCGGGTCTTTCTTTTTTCCCACGCCTGCCCTGCATAACATGGCAGACCGTGTCAGAAACGGCGTGTTTGATCTTCGTAGGCCATGCCCTAGCCTCTTTGAGCAAGTGGGTGCGTCCTGTCCCGCCCCCGCGGGCAGCGTGTCGGACAGGGGTGTCGATCTGCAACCCCGTGGGGAGTGGATGGCGCGGTGACTGCTCGTTTGCCACTGTAGAGGATGGGAGTCCCCCCTTGGAACATAGTGGTTGTCGTATGTCTATGTCGGGTTCTTCGCCCGAGGGCTGAAGGCGGCGCCTACAACACTGTAGGGCGAAGAGCACGCGCCTGCAACACTATTTAGGCTCTGCCACGCCTGGAAGGGTCTAAGCGCCCGTCCTATCGTGCCTCGACGGTACTTTCCTACAGGGGCGCAGGGCATGGTCCTCGATGCTGCGGTTGACCCGAACGTCTTGTCTTACCCTATGCCTATAATCATGAAGGAGCAGGGTGCGGTTGTCAGGTGAGGCGGAGCTAGCCTTTAGACATCGGGCGAGGCGAGGTCCAGCCCTCGGGGGTCGGTTGAGGCGGAGCCCAGCCCTCGGGGTCGGGCGAGGCGGAGTCTATACCTCGAGGGTTGGGCAAGGCGGAGTCTTGCTCTTAGCCGTCGGGCGAGGCGAAGCCTAGCCCCGGACGTCGGGTGAGGCGGATCCCGCCTCAGCCCTCGGACGAGGCGGACCCCGCCCTCAGCCCTCGGGCGAGGTGGAGCCGTCCCTCAGCCGTCGGGTGAGGCGGCACTGGCCCACGGGCGTCGAGCGAGGCGGAGCCAAACTCCCGTCGTTTCGGGCAAGAAGCGCAGTAGTGCTTTTGTCTGTCCGGGAGTTTTTAACGTTCGATGGTTATTAGTTCCACCTCCTTGGGTACCCCGGTATTAGGTCTCCGACAGTAGCCCCCGAGCCCCCGGGTGATTCGAGTAGAATCGCCCGGGGGGTAGTATCGAACCCTCCGCGGGTAAGGCCGTAAGACTTGGTTTTTCGTCAACTGGATATTCTTAAGGGAATCGTGGTATCCCGTTCGCAGGGATTTCATTCAGGGCCGGCCTGGCTAGAGCTCGACTGTGGATCGAGGCCCCGGTGATGCTCGCGTCCTTGAGTCCTGGTCGTTTGCAGGCCCATCCCTCGTGGGGACGGTCCTTGGGCTCCGGGGCCCTAGGCGGGCTGGAGAGAAAGGCTTTGTGACCCGTGTTCCCTTGGTGGGAAGAGAGTCCTGGTCCGCCTGGGGAAGGCGAACCGCCCGGCGTGACTTTTGCGGGAAGGGATAGGGATCGTGTGCGCGTGTCCCGTGACGTGACGCGGCAGTGCATCATGGCGGGTTCGGAGATCGAGGTGGGTCATTGCCCTTCTCGCATTCGTCACCCCTATAAAACCACGGGGTTCACCCCTAGGGTTCCGTACTTTGCCTCCTTGCCCTCGCATTCTCCGCCTCCACCGCCGATCGCTTGAGCTTCTCGCAACCGTACTGACTCCCGCCGTCAAACTCGCCGCTGCCTTCTCCCCTGAGCTGCCCCCGCCATCGTAATGGACCCGGGTACAGATCCAGCATCTCCCCTCAGCGCCTAGAGGGCCTCATCCGCTGAGGCCTCCTTCGCCCGTTGACCGCCGCCGAGGAGTGGCGGCTACCCGGTGAAGAGGACGAGCCACAGCCACCCGAAGGGTACGTTGTGTCTTTCGGTCACTTCCACGAGCGGGGATCCAGCACATTGCGGCGTTCATGGCCCTGTGCGAGGGGTTCTTGGGGATCAGCCCCCACTTTGACCTATGGTGGTATCTCTTCGCCGTCAGACTTCTAAAGAGGTAGGTCGAGAAGCAAGAGCTGCACGCGCCGGTGGGGTGCGCCAGCATCCACCTCCGCAGCAACCGGGTAGGAGCATACCCGCTAATGCGCCTATCCACCTCCAACAAGGGGTGGCATTCGCAATGGTTCTATGTCAAGAATGACGCCGCCACCCCCTTGCCAGTTTTCACCGGGCGCTACATCGTGGAGACCCTAGGGTCGTGGGGGTGGGGTGTCCCGGGCAAGGAAAAGAAGCAACTCAACGGCCTTCTTGCCGCCCTCCGAACCCTGAAGGATAGGGGTGTGAAGGGATCAGGGATTATCGGCGCCTACCATTCAAGGAGGGTCGCGCCGCTGATGGCGCGCGCGCTCCCCCAGTATCAGATGTTGCCCGGAGCATCATTCGAAGGAACGGTGCTCGTCGACAAAGCGCTCCCTCCCTCCGAAGTGGCGCAGCGCATCAAGGAGGCGATGGAGCCTACGAAGGACTCTGTCGGTGCCGTCCTTGACTTCATGTATCCGGTGCCGGGGCATCCCCCAATGTGACTGGAACCGGGGTTTGTTGACTTTGTAAGTTTTCTTTTCCCCTTGCTCCCCTTTTCACTTGAATTTTTGACCCCCTGATGCTAACCTCGGGATAGCGGGACCAGCCGGGGGGACTGTTCTTCAAGGACAGTCCGGCTCCACTACCAAAGGACCCAACCTAGACGGTAGTGAACCGCGCCATGGCCAATTGGGACAAGAAGACGAGGGAGCTCGTGAAGAAAAAGGCGATACGGAAGCAGCAAGCTCGAGATCGAGGAGAGGAGACAAGCAGTGAAGTTGATGATGATGACGACGAGTCTGACAAGGTAGCACCCGGCGTGGATTGGGGTGACCTGGAGGACGAGGACTCACTGTCCACGCAGGGACCCTTCCCGTTCCACGTGGAGGGAAGCGAGTCTACGAGGACGGTGGAGCCGGGCCTGCCCTCGGTCCCGGTGGGAGCCGGTGGATCCGACGTCACCCTCGGGGTGCCGGCGGAGGATCGGTGGATGGGAGGGGACGGATCCACGGCAGCCCCCGAGGTGCTGATGGAAAGGGTGGCTCCGACACCGCGCCCCATGAACCGATGGAGGGGAGCGGCCCTGTCGCCGCGCCCCATGAGCCGGTGGAGGGGAGCGGCCCTGTTGCCGCGCCCCATGAGCCGACGGAGTTGAGCGGCCCTGTCGTCGCGCCCCATGAGCCGACGGAGGAGAGCGGCCCTATCGCCGTGCCCCATGAGCCGATGGAGGGGAGCGGCCCTGTCGCCATGCCCCGTGAGCCGATGGAGGGGAGCGGCCCTGTCGCCGCACCCTCAGAGACAAGGGAGACGAGCCCCCCTGCCTCGGAGCAGGGAGCAGGCTTGAAACGGTCCCGCCCATAAGAGTTGGAGCAGGGGTCCGAGGGTTTGTCCCCAAAACGTACCCGCCGCCCAAAAGCGCCAGAGTATGTCACCGATTCCCCTCATTTTTTCCTTTTTATTTTTCTGTTCCGACCTTATGTCCTTTTCCTTTTCGCAGATTCTTACGACGGGGCCACCCTCTGGGGCCAGCGCCCAAGAAGAGCCTTGCCCTTCAGGCGGGACGGATGGTGCTGCCCGGCGTCGCTCCTGTTTCGGGTAGGAGCGGTGCTGACGTTGCGGCCTCGTTGGTCGTTCCGGCGGCGCCCGTGGTGGCGTCCGTGCCCTCGGTGGTTGCCGAGCAGGCGGCCGCGACCTTGCCAAGCCAGGAGCGGCCGGACGCAGCCATGGTGGTGTCCGAGAGGCTGGTGCAATCCGCGCCACCAGCGGCCCAAGTGACGGCG